CAGAGAACTGATCTACACCGCTTCATAAAAAGGCATTCACAGGAGAACTGTCTTCTCCGAGAATTCCGGAGAACTGAGCAGCGGTCATTTACCACTGCTTGATAAAAGTGTACATTGACATGGGAACAAGAGAGTAACTGGAGTACAATGTATTGGTCAGGTGTGCAAAGTTTACAGCCATCTTTAAGTTCAGAGGTCCATCTTAAAGTCAAGGCGGCCTTAGCCTTGTCCTGTGGCATTGACCGAAATGCAACAAATAAAGGTACCCCATGTATAAGGCCAGTGACCCTGTCCAGTGAGCCTGTCCTAGGTGCCCAGTGTAACCAAGAGGGACCCACCTTAGGGAAGGCCTACTATGTGACCCTCACTTGGCACCCAATGAGGAGCGGAACATGGAGGAGGTACCACCCATCTATCCCCTACATGTTTTTGAAGAAGCAGAATCATGATGAAAGTGTGGTACAACCCATACCTCTGTAGGGACCACTGGTAATAGCTGGTTTGTGGGAGGGACTTAAGGTGCCCTAATGGGGACACTAGGAACTACACTCACTAATTTCTTAAACAGTAGGCAGGAGTTTGCAGTCATTCAGAATGAGCATTAAGGCACAACTCCAGACTTAGAGAGAGCAACAACTAACACAGTTAACCAACTAGTAACCCATGGCTAACTTGTTGTACTGCTAACACTAAGTAATCTAGTCCAGGGGCGGACTGACCATTTGGAAACTCTGGCACTGCCCGAGGGCCTGGGGTCAGTAGGGGGCCCCATGAGATGCTCCTGGTACCTTTTTCATAGGCTTTTTGAGTTTGGGCAAGGATACAGGGGCCCCATGATCCCCTATTGCCTGGGGTCCCCATGAGTTGTCAGTCCGCCTCTAGGCACTACTATAGCAGGAGAACACCACTTTCCAGGTGTGCAGCAGGAACCAGTACCAGAGTCTGTACAGGCATCCACGGACCCAACAATTTCTTTCACCTCACTCCCAGTGACGTGTTCAACTGTTGCTACTGGATACAGGAAACACACTTCACTCACCACTACATGTTTGGTAGGTAGGTACACTGTGCCACAAATGTGGTCCCAGTATGTGGGAAACCGGTTGATAGTGAAGGAGTCAGACACAACAACCCATCACTACCAGATTAACCATCACCCTTTGCCAGTCACCCATTCCCTGGCTGGTTGACTACTCTAATCAATTATACATGCAAGGTTGTCCCTAGCAACAGCCACATAGCCTACACTAGACATCAAATGACATGCTGGACTAAAATATACCATATCTACTCTAACCTACAGTCTCCTGATATAAGCCCTGTTCTTTAGATACGCCATGCATTGCACCCCTTTGAGAGACTTCAGACCGGTAATTTAAAGGAAAAACAGGCAGTCTTTACTGAAGTAGTGCAAAACATACAGGAACAGTTCTTCAATCCAAACAGGTAGCAAGACATCCCTTTAGGGTCCATGATTGACAGTAATCCACAAAAGGCAGTAGGTCCATAGCTGGCAGCTAAGAGTCCATAAGGTCCTTGGTTCCCCAGCCCCTCAGGGAACATCGACTGGCCCACCCCCAACTGGGTCCAGAGTCCAGCAGAGTAATAGCCTACATCTTGGCAGTGGTTCAGCGAGATCCCCTTTTTATGTTGATTTCTAGAAAATTGGCAGGAAAGTCTAGACAATTAATTCTTCCACCACACATTTACATTGCAACAATTAAGCTGAGTAACAGCACAGTGAACCCAGATTGCTGCAGAATAGCAGAAACGCTTAAACTGTTCTGTAGGCACCTGCCTACAGGTTCTTCCCTAATAGTACAGAAGCTGCCCAGCACCACAAACACTAGTCCATGCATTCCGGCTCCAATAACAGCAACAATAAGATGTATTGCTTGAAGAAACTTTAACAGGAGAGGGGTTAGAGCATGGAATACTCCAAAATGATTAGCACATAGCAATTAGAGGACAATCTTCTCCTTCAGTAAACATGAAGGTTGGACAATCTAAATCCCCACAGCTGAAGACCATGAGGCAACTTTCTGAATAGGCTAAGGCCTCACAGCTGAAGACCTGGAAAGCAAACCTCTTTGGTTATGTTGCGCCCAGGGGAGGACTGACAACTCATGGGGACCCCGGGCAATAGGGGATCATGGGGCCCCTGTGTCCTTGCCCAAGCTCAAAAAAGCCTATGAAACAGGTACCAAAGGTATGTCATGGGGCCCCCAGCTGACCCCGGGAACTCGGCCAAATGGTCAGTCCACCCCTGGTTGCGCCTATGCACAACTACTGGAATGCATTTTTCAAACATTACACAGTCGCAGGAATCAATTTAGGGACTTTACTCACAAGTCCCCAGGACAGCTGCCACCTTCCATGTTCCTCTGGACAAGACAGTTCTTCTTCAGACCAGATCCCTTGTGGCAAGGCACTGCTATCAGCTTCTTGGTGGATCCATCCAGCCTCCTATGCTATGACTGAGGCCTCTAGGACAACTGTACAGTCCATGGTCTATAACAAAAAACTAAAACAATGAATATGCCGACTCACCCGAGTCCAAGGGTGGTGTCCTCAAGACCAAAACAATATGGCAGAAAAATGAAACCAGTGAGTGAGGCCCCATTGGAAAAGAAGTCCTCAGGAGAACATGCTGTGGCTTTAAAACATGATATTTATTGGCATAGTAATGATACAATACAAAAAGCTACATCACCCTCCACCTTGCAAATTAAAACCATGACAACGTTGCCATAAAAAACACCCGTGCCGGGATCCCGGTCCAGACCAAGTGCACGCACACACACAGCACGCATTCAATCAGCACGTGATGACGTAAGACCGCTAGGATCATGTGGTGTTTAAAGGGAGACTAAGGACAGCCAGAGTATAGTGGAGATGGATGTAACTAGTATGTAAATAATTGGCAGGATCAAAACAGGTAGCTGTGATAGCAATCTCAGTCCATCCTCAAAAGGAATGTATTATGGAGGTTGATCTGTATATGAAAATGGGCTGCCTGAGGGGAGCAGCCCCTGAGGCTCTGGAACCCTCCTGGGGAGAAAGAACCCTCTCCAGTGCTTCAGACTATTGATCGCTCTTCCATCCCACTTCTGAACACTCCTTTCCAAGGATTATTATTATTATTATTATTTGAATCCCCTGCCCTAAGCTCTGGCAGCTTCTTTCAGAGACAGGGGGAATCAATCAAATTCCCAGCCTGTGAAACCCTGAACAGACCAGGACAAATGATCACTGAACTCTTGATTAGAGAAGGAGCCAAAAACTAAATTCACCTAGCATCCTACGCTAGGAGGGTGCTACAAAAATACAGTGTGGGTAGCCCTTGTTCTGGTCCTAAGCTGCGGCCTATCTCACAGTGACAAAGGGAGCTCTTAAAATACTTTACAATAGTGACATAATAAATGTTCAAGAGAGAGAGGTTCAAGTAAATTTAGTTTTTATCTCCTCTGTAATCATTGGAGCAGTGTGTGATTATTTTTGCCTGTTCTGGGTCTCACTGGCTACAGGCTCAACTGCTTCCCCCTGCCTTCTAGTGGATTCTAGAATGTAGTGGGTTGAAAGAGGCAGAACCTGGGCCTTAATATTCATGTGATTTTAGGGAATCCTTGGGGAAAAGATGCCCAGTAGGTGGCCGAGGAGTACATAAATATTATGGGAAAAGACCCAACTTGAAGGGCTGCTGTCCTTTTGGGCAGAGTAGCTGAAGTCTGTAGGAGTTCATCGAGGTCCCAGCTCAAGGAGAGCTGGGGGGCCTACTTTCTGAGAGCAGCTGGAGCAAATTCAAAGGGGATTCACTGAGGATCTGACCTGGGAGTTCATGGAAGAAGTGTCTGGATGGTATTGGAAAGAGCCATCTAAGTATATGGGGACGTTGTGAGTATAGGCCTGAGTGTGGGATTCTAGTGACTGTTACTGTTTTAACTCTTCGAGCATTTGCTCCGGTGTTTCTGAATTGGACTGTGGACTGTTCCTGTTGCTTGGAGTTCCTGAGTTGTTGGTTCTCCTATTGTCAGTCAAGGTGAATTATCCTGAAGACTACAGTCAAGGCAGAGAGCGTTTCTTTTCTATGCTCTGCACTAGATTTGGAGTATCCCAACCCTCACCCTGCACCCTAACAAAGTTCAATAAGAAATAAATCTTACATTCCCTACCTGGTTATTGAGTTGCAAGATTGTCCGTGCTGCTGTGTGCCTGGCTGCCTTTACACCCACTTGGGAAGAGAACCTGGGACTAATCTGTAGGGCCCGTCAGGGGTCTGCTCTACACAAATACGGAAAAAAGGGCAAATATTTTAATACAGAAATTTAGATTGAAATACCTCCCAGGTCCATAAAAACAAAAGTATCATAGTAGGTAAGACCAGGAAAATGGAGGTTGAAGGTATAAAGTTAATCTGACTGCATATCTATTTTTGTGACTTAATTTGGGCTTTAAACACTTGCAGACCACCCATCCACAATGTACTGTGGACGGGCCACCCATACAGGCACAGCAACATACCTGTACATTGCCGGCCTTCTCATCGAGTCCCTCTGTGTACAATTACAGTTTGTGATCAGGTCTAAACCAATGATTCATGGGTGGGACCTGCTGATTGGCTGTGCCCAATTACAGCCCAGAGCTCTGTGTTGACAGTTAAAGCAGGGAAAAGCACCTGAACAGACGGAACAATCTCTCTGTTTCTTCTACCTGCAGAAGAGGAAACAAAGCGATATTTAGTAAACAAAACAGCGCACATTACACAAATTAACACCTGTTAGGCACACATTGAACATTTCGGTGGAGTCTCGGTGTGACGTCATCACACACTGACGTGTCAGCTGACACCGCCACCAATTATTTTTTTGACACCAGTGTCAGTGTCAGATTGCCCACTGCACTATCACAGTCCCACTGATCACTGTCATTGCTGGTATAATAAATAAATAAATACAATTTCCAATATATATATACCATAGTTTGTAGACGCTATAAGCTGAACTCATAATATTTCCTCCCCCACATGCCTCTTCCCCTGATTTCTCAGTCAGGATCAATAGCACTACTACTATCAACCCATCCCCTGCATTCCAGAGTGCTAGGGGCAACCCTGGATCCTGAACTATCCTTTCAGGCCCACATACAATCCCTGTCCAAATCATGGCGCCTCAACCTCCGCAACATCTCCAGAATACACCCCTTTTTAACCAATGATACCACAAAGCTCTTAATTGACTCCCTGGTTATCTCTCGCCTCAACTACTGCAACTCCCTCCTTATTGGCTTACCTTTACATAGGCTATCCAGCCTCCAGTCCATCATGAATACTACTGCCAGACTCCTCCACCTTACCAACCGTTCAGTGTCTGCTACCCCTCTCTGCCAATCCCTCCACTGGCCTCCATTCAGTGTCCACCATCTCTCTCTGCCAATTCCTCCACTGGCTTCCATTCAGTGTCTGCTACCCCTCTCTGCCAATCCCTCTACTGGCTTCCATTCAGTGTCCTCCATCCCTCTCTGCCAATCCCTCCACTGGCCTCCATTCAGTGTCCTCCACTCTTCTCTGCCAATCCCTCCACTGGCCTACATTCAGTGTTCTCCACCCCTCTCTGCCAATCCCTCCACTGGCCTCCATTCAGTGTCCTCCATCCCTCTCTGCCAATCCCTCCACTGGCTTCCATTCAGTGTCCTCCACCCCTCTCTGCCAATCCCTCCACTGGCCTCCACTCAGTGTCCTCCACACCTCTCTCTGCCAATCCCTCCACTGGCCTCCACTCAGTGTCCTCCATCCCTCTCTGCCAATCCCTCCACTGGCCTCCACTCAGTGTCCTCCACCTCTCTCTGCCAATCCCTCCACTGGCCTCCACTCAGTGCCCTCCACTCCTCTCTGCCAATCCCTCCACTGGCCTACATTCAGTGCCCTCCACCCCTCTCTGCCAATCCCTCCAATGGCTTCCACTCGCCAAACGAATAAAATTCAAAATACTAACAACTTACAAAGCCATCCACAACTCTGCCCCCGGCTACATCACCAACCTGGTCTCAAAATATCAACCAAACCGCTCTCTTCGATCCTCCCAAGACCTTCTGCTCTCTAGTTCCCATGTCACCTCCTCCCACGCTTGCCTCCAGGACTTCTCCCAAGCTTCTCCCATCCTATTGAACTCCCTACCCCAATCTGTCCAGCTATCTCCTAATCTATCCACCTTTAGACGATCCCTGAAAACCTTTTTCTTTGAAGAAGCCTATCCTGCTTCTACCTAGTAAACTGCCATTTATTTCCTCCATCAGCTCATCACCCCACAGCTATTACCTTTTGTATCACTCAACACTTCCTCCTAGAATGTAAGTTCTAATGACCAGGGCCCTCCTATCCCTCTTGTATTGTTGCTGTATTGTCTCCCATTATATTGTAAAGCGCTGAGCAAACTGTTGGCACCATAAATCCTGTATAATAATAATAATAACAATAATATAACTTTCACACAAACCAATCAATATCCACAATATGAGATTTTTGTAACAAAGACACGTAGCAGAATACTTTTTGGCCTGAATTTGTGAAGAAATATAATTTATTTTTTATTTTTTTATTGGACATGTTTTATAGCAGAAAGTAAACAATATTGTTTCTTTTTTCATAAATGTTGGTGTTGTTTTTGTTCATATAATAGAAAATAAAAAAAAACCCCAGTGGTGATCAAATACCACCAAAAGAAAGCTTTATTTGTGTTTTAAACAATTTAATTTTGTTTGAGTACATCATCGCATGACCGCGCAATTACCAGCTAAAGCATCGCAGTGCTGAACAGCAAAAAAAAAAAAATTAAAAAATGGCCTGGTCAGGAAGGAGGTAAAACATTCCGGAACTGAAGTGGTCATGCGTTGGTTATAGAACTGAGAGGATGCCAAGAACATGAAGACATGTCAGACTCGGGTCATTATGGACTTGCCTTGCGTCTTCAGGCAAAATAAAATTCAGTTATGGGTGACGAGGCAGGGAATGGGCCAGGGGTGGACTGACAACTCATGGGGCCCCTGGGCAATAGGGGATCATGGGGCCCCTGTGTCCTTGCCCAAACTAAAAAAAACCTAAGAAAAAGGTACCAGGGGCATCTCATGGGGCCCCCTACTGACCCCGGGCCCTCGGGCAGCGCCCGAGTTTCCAAATGGTCAGTTCGCCCCTGGAATGGACACAAATGCCGGTTCAGATTATGGGGTCACAGGGGTAAAGCAGATTTATAATTTGGGGAACACTGACCAAAGCAAAAGCTTACCACAAAAAGAAAAGAAATGACAAGGCAGCACGGATGATAGAAGAAAGTTTTTTATTTTTTATCTTTGACTACAGACTCCCTTCAATACAACCCCCATCACTGCTTTCTTTGTCAGATAAAAGGAATGAAAACTGTAATTTTTCAGCACTTGAGTGACATAAAAATGTGTGTGATTCATTCATAATTACACCTTCTGCGCAGTTTATAAATTCCCTCGAGAGTTTTCTTATTGACAGCCAATGGAAATAGAAGAAGACTCGATGCGTGGTCACTTTTTTTTATATATATCTCTTAAAATTTTAACATTTTAATGTTGCATGCTTCTATATTTATTTATTTTTTCTGATTCAAGTGACTTAAAGTGACACTAAAACTTTGTTTTTTTTTTTAATAACAAACATTTCTATACTCGCCTGTTCTGTGCAGTAGTTTTGCACAGAGAAGCACCGATCTTCTTTTTTTTGGGTCCCTGCCAGCCCTCTTGGCTCCTCCCCCTCGAGCAATGACCCGTGGAAAGCCGCTCGCCCTGGGGGCACCGCTTCGTGCTCGTCCCCGACAGTGGTGTTTTTAGGTTTTGTGCTGCCCTAGGCAACACAAAATTTGGCGCCCCCCTCCCCGCAGAGAGAGCCTGAAAATTACCAAGAACACCCTTGCCCCCCACCTGAGACAGCCTTCCACTACTACTGCCCCCCATACACCAGCCACCATCCCCTCATGGTGAGAAAAAGAAAGACACTCACCTTCACAGCTCCAGACATCCCCAGGAACGAAAGTCAGGCTGTGCATACATGCCTGTAGCCTCCCACCAGGTCCCCATACCATGTGCAGGGGTGGCCTGACAACTGATAGGGGATCATGGGGCCCCTATGTCCTTGCCCACACTCAGACCACACTCAAAAAAGCCTATGAAAGGTACCAGGGGCATCACATGGGGTCCCATACTGACCCCAGGCCCTCGAGCAGTGCCTGAGTTCCCAAATGGTCAGTCCACCCCTGGCCGTGTGTGTCCCTTCTTCCATCCCTTCTTCCAAAGCCAGTGCTGCCCCCCCCTGAAAAATGCCACCCTAGGCAAATGCCTTGTTTGCCTTGTGGTAAATACACCCCTGGTCCCCGAGCCTCTGCTCTATGTGTCCATAAGGCACATAGAGCAGCGGATCGGCCCAGCCCTCCCCTCTCCTCATTGGCCCCCTGCCATTGGGATCCCGCTGCTATCTTAGCCAATGAGGAGGAAGAGTCCCCAGACAGCAGAGGCTGTTGAGAATGTCGCTGGATAGGAGGGGGCTCAGTTAAGAATTGGAGGGGGGCTGCTGCACAAAGCAAATTAAGCCCTGGTGCACACTGATGCAGTGCAGAATCGCACCGCGCAGGGGCGGACTGACAACTTATGGGGCCCCCGGGCAATAGGGAATCATGGGGCCCCTGTGTCCTTGCCCAAACTCAAAAAAGCCTATGAAAAAGGTACCAGGGGCATCTCATGGGGCCCCCTAGTTACCCTGGGCCCTCGGGCAGTGCCCAACTTTCCAAATGGTCAGTCCTCCCCTGGCTGTGTTCATGCAAACTGCTGCGGGTGTGTATAATAAGTTAAAAACACCCCGAAACGGTCCGGATGTGCAGAATCGGATCGCATAGGTGTGAATGCCCAATGCGATCTGATTCTAGTGCGGACCAAAAAAAGGGTCCTGCGCCTTTTTTGGTGCGGTGTGATTAGAGCCATACAAAATGTACGGCTCCAATCGCACCGCACACAAATCACATGTGATTTGCACAGGAATGCGGTGCGGTTTCTGTGCGAATTACATGCGATATACCGCACTGCATATATGTGAACCCGGGCTTAAAGGATATCCTCCGTGTACGGCTATTACTATGGAAGAGCACACTAAGCTGGCTGTAATGCAGGCCATAGATGGGTCGAAAATCGGCCGATTTTTAGGCCGAAAATAAAATCGGCCGATTTTCGGATTGTTAGTGGGCTAAATGTTCGGCCGTTTTTCAGTATTTTGGCAGATTTTTTTTATCGGTAAAGTTGGAAAAAAATTGTCCGATTTTGCCGATCGGCCGATTTTCGTGGCAATGATGGGCAAATCGGCCAATCTTTTACCGATAAAAAAATCTGCGCATGAGCAGTGACCTGCAAGAGGAAGACAAAAAGAAGAAGAAAAAAGAAGAAGAGGATGAAGAAGAAAAAGAAGAAGAGGAAGAGGATGATGAAGAAGATGAAGAAGAAGAGGAAGAAGGAGAAGGGGAAGAGAAGAAGAGGATGATGAAGAACAAGAGGATGGAGAAGAAGAAGAGGAAGAAGAAGAAGAGGATGAAGAAGAAGAGGATGAAAAAGCTGAAGAAGAGGAAGAAGAAGAGGAGGATGATGAAGAAGAGGATGAAGAAGAAGAGGATGAAGAAGAAGAAGAAGAGGATGAAGAAGAAGAAGAGGATGAAGAAGAAGAAGTGGAAGAAGAAGAAGAGGATGAAGAAGAAGAGGATGAAGAAGAAGAGGAATTCCAGTCCGGCAAAAAGTGTCCCTGCAGAGAGCTCCGCTATTTCTTTGACAGTTCCTTGACATTTATAGCGGTTGCAACAATGTATCTATTTGTTTCTGAATAAAAACATCTGTATCCTAAATGGATACAAATAGATACATTGTTGCAACCGCTATAAATGTCAAGGAACTGTCAAAGAAATAGCGGAGCTCTCTGCACGGACACTTTTTGCCGGCTGTAGACGGGATGAAAATCGGCCGATTTTTTTTTACCATTGCTGGTAACGTCGGCCGCTTCAACGACCGATTTTTCTTTTTTTTAAAGAAAATCAGCCGATTTTCGACCCGTCTATGGCCTGCATTAGGAATCAACAGCGCCGGAGGTGAAGGATCCTAACCCTCTTGTATTGAACTGTATTGTCTCCCGTTATATTGTACAGCGCTGAGGACACTGTCGGTGCTATAAATCCTGTATATTATTAACAATAATAAAAGGGAAGGAAAAGAAAGCAACAAAAGATTGAGAAATGATTTCAATGTGTGTTAGGGCTATGCGGATGATTTTTAGCCACATGCTGCTGAGCGATTTAGCCCCTTGAACAGATGGAAATCAAGAAAAATGTGAGCGAGTGATTTAGTCCTTATTGAGAAATATGTGAAAAAAGTGAAAATGGCCCAATAAACGCACACAGCCTGGGAAATGAGCGTTCTCTTTAAAGGAA